AAGTGGTAGAGCGCTAGCCTTGAGCTGAAGAGCTGAGGGACAGCGCCCAGGCCCAGAGTTCAGGCCCCACGACTGGCAAAAAAAAAAAAAAAAAACCCTCCCTGAGGTGTGGCTGACTTTGTAAGTCATGGAACCTCTAGGGGAAAAAATTTGACTTTATTTCTTTACAGAGGCTCCCTCTGCTGGCTGTGTTTGGTAACTAGGCAAATTATTTAGGCTTTTCCCTTTGAAATTAAAGACTGAATGTCTTGTCAGCAGTGCTTGAGTCTTTTAAGTGTCTCAGATTCCATATTTCTTTTGAATTTTGAAGCATTTTGCATGGGTACATTCTTAGAGCATAATCTCCGAGGTGGAATCCGAATCTTAACACAAAAGTCCCTATGTATCAAATAGGGTAGCCTATTTACATGGGTAGCCTAAATGTAAATTTTTATAAAGCATTTTCAATACACCTAAGTTTGTACTATAACTTGTTCCACTAAGTTAAGGTATGGAATTTTCTACAGATTTTGTTACATTGCTGCTCAGAAATATTTGCAGTTCAAGTCAAGTCTGTACAAAAAGCAAGACCCTGTCTTAAAGAAATAGCTAAAAGCCAATCAAGAGGCTGAGATACGTGGATTGTGGTTCAAAACCAGCTCAGGCAGGAAAGCCCATGAGACTCTTTATCTCCTAATTCACCACCAAAAACTTGAAAGTGGAGCTGTGGCTCAAGTGCTAGAGCCACCAGCCTTGAGCAAAAATGTTAAATAAGGCACAGTATCCAAGCCCATACGTTCAAGCCTCAGTACTGGCACCAGAAAAAAAAAGAAGAGTCAGTCACCAAGGAGATTCCAAGATATTTAAGAGCTCTGTGTCAGAAATTGGAGTCTGATACCAACTACTCAAGGATCCGAAGCAAACTTGCTTTTAGCACTTAGTTAGCATTGCAGGAACTCTGTCAGGGACAAGAGTTAGACAAGTATACCCAGATGGCACCACACAGCCATTCTGTTTTTACTAACACACAAGATAATTAGCACTTCATTAGACAACAATGACAGATTAGCTGATCTTGTCCAAGGGTAGCCTACTCTAAGTATTAGATAGACTAGATTAAGCAATCACATTCTCTAGGTGAGGTGTATTTTAAATATTTACAATAGTCTAGTCTTATGAAGGATCTATTTGGATTTGGGATCTCATTGTGATTTGAAGCACATCTGTTTGTTTGGTCAGTCGTGGGGCTTAAACTCTGGGCTTGGGTATTGTCCCTGCACTCTTGAGCTCAAAGAAAGTGCTCTAACGCTTGAGCCATAGTGCCACTTCTGGTTTTCTAGTGGTTTATTGGAGATAAGAGTCTCATGGAGTTTCCTACCTGGGCTGCCTTTGAACCATGATTCTCAGATCTCAGCCCCTTGAGTAGCTAGGATTACAGGCATGAGCCATCTGTGCCTGGCAAAAATGTATCTCTTACATTGAAAAATAGAAGACATTCTTTTTTTTTCCTCTGCCTTTTGCAGAGCAGTGAGTTGCAAAGTTTGCATTTGCTCAAACTTGAAGTCTTTTCCATGAAGCTTGCTCAGAATACTTTTGCAACCAAACTCATGCAGCCTGGTTTGTGCCTAGGTGCCTGAAGGAAGACCCCGCTACCATGTCCCTGCTGCAGAGAAGCCTTGATCCTGAGAAGACCCTGGGCCTGGTGGATGTGCTCTACACAGCTGTACTGGACCTAAACCGCTGGAGGGCAGGCAGGTGGGTGCCCTGGCCAGTTTTGGAAATTTTGCTATCTCATTTGCATTGTAAACAAACTGAATTGAGACCAAATTTTGTTTATGTGTGTTCATGTTACTGATAATAGTATGTGAGCAAGTAGTCATGCAAAAGGACTTTGCAGTAATATTCTGTTCTTTTTTTTTAAATTTTTGGTGTCAGTCTTGGGGTTTGAACTGAGGGCCTGGTCACTGTCCCTGAGCTTTTGTACTCAAAGCTAGCATTTTACCGCTTGAGCCACACCTCTACTTCTAGATTTCTTGGAGGTTAATTAGGGATATGAATTTCCTGCCCAGGCTAGCTTTGAACTGCGTTCCTCAGATCTCAGCCTCCTGAGTTGCTAGGATTATAGGCATAAGCCACTGAGCCTGGCTGAAACTCCTTTTTACAACTACTTAAGAAAGAAGGGAAGGGCTGGGAATATGTGGCTTGGAGGTAGAGTGCTTGCCTACCAAGCATGAAACCCTGGGATGATTTCTCGGTACCACATAAACAGAAAAAGCTGGAAGTGACACTGTGGTTCAAGTGGTAGAATGTTAACCTTGAGCAAAAAAAAGGAAAGTAAGAAGGAAGGAAAGAGTAAGCCAGGTGATGGTGGCTCACACCTGTAATCCTAGCTACTCAGGAGGCTAAGATCTGAGGATCACGGTTCAAAGCCAGCTCGGGCAGCAAAGTCTGAGAGACTCTTTTTTTTTTAATTTATTTATTTTATTTTATTTGTGAACATACTGTACAGAGGGGTTACAATTACATGGGCAGGATAATGCGTACATTTCTTTTTTTTGGGGGGGGGTCTGGTCTGGGGCCTGAACTCTGGGCCTGGGCGCTGTCCCTCAGCTCTTCAGCTCAAGGCTAGCGCTCTACCACTTGAGCCACAGCGCCACTTATGGCTTTTTTCTTTTTGCTTATGTGGTGCTGAGGAATCGAACCCAGGGCCTCATGCATGCAAGGCAAGCGCTCTACCACTGAGCCACCTTCTCAGCCCAATGCGTACATTTCTTACTAAGCATTGCAGCCTCCTCCTTTGTTTACCCTTCACATCCCTTCCCAGCCTCCCCCCCCCCCCCCCCCCCCCGCACCGACGTTGTAAAGCTCGTTTTGGACATGACAACTTGTACTTCTCATTGTTGCAACAGGTCCACCTGTATCCTTAAACAACTTTTTTTTCCCCATCTCCTTCACAAGTTATACTGACATCAAATATAGTGAAAGCAGGGGCTGAGAGACTCTTATCTCCAATTAACCACTAGAAAACCCGAAGTGGCGCTGTGGCTCAAGAGGTAGAGTGTTAGCCTTGAGCTGAAGAGCTCAGAGACAGCACCCAGGCCCAGAGTTCAAACCCCACAACAGACCAAAAAATAGAGAAGAGAGACAGACAGACAAGCCCAGGTGTCTCCTATATGCTCAGGAAGCTGAGATCTGAGGATTGTGGTTTGAAGCTATTCTGGGCAGGAAAGTCGAATTAACCCTCAGAAAACTGAAAGTGATGCTGTGGCTCAAAGTGATAGAGTACTAGCCTTGAGCAAAACAGCCCAGGCACAGTGCCCAAGCTCTGAATTGAAGCCTCACAACTGACCCCTCCCCCCCCAAAAAAAAAGACAACCCCAAGCAGAAAAAGCTTGGAAATGAAATTGTGGCTCAAGCAGTGGAGTGCCAGCCTTAAATGAGAACAAGAGGCCCTGAGTTCAAGCCCCCCAGTATTGGCACACCCAATAAAAAGGTGGTAGAGGCTCTTAACCAGACTTTATTCTCTTAATGAAGTAAGAGCTGAGAAGTGTTAAAATTTATTCACATCCTTCATGAAATGAATTTATATCTGAAAGTAGCTGCTAGGGATGTGGCACAATGGTACAGCATTTTCCCAGCATGCATAGGGCCTTGTATACCATCCTGTCTCTGCTTCTCTCTCTCCCTCACTCCAGTGAAAGCAGCTGACAGTGCAGCTGTAAGATTACTTCCTGGTGAATTGCTAATTTTAGAACTAGTAGAAATCTTAAACATCTTGCCATGATACTACTTCTCCCCCTTAACGCCACAGGGTCTCTGCACAGTAATAGAATGTCTCCAGGGTCACACTGTTATCACCTCCAGTTTCAACTCCTGCCTGTGTCCTTTCTACGTTTCAGTCCAGGGAAAATTTTTTCAGAAAACTTCACACAATGGCAATCATTGAACAATCGTGGTGCCAAGTCCCCAAAGTGTGGTGTGAACTTGTCCATTTGTCCTCTGCTGGGTCTACGGCTTCTCCATCCCCACCTTCCAGCACAGACCTGACTCTGCCAATGACTTCCACATCTGGCCTGCTTTTCAGTCCTCTGCTGGGTTGATATCTAGGCCAGATGGTGCCATTTTCCCAGCTCTGGGTTAAGCTGCCAGAGATGGTGTACACTAGCACCCCACACTCCTTGCTGTTCTTTATGCATGTACCCCTCCCTCTCTCCCTTTTTCTCTTCCTCCCTCCCTTCTTCCCTCCCTGTCTTCTCTGTGTATGTGTCTTTTTTTTTCTTTTGTTTAATGGTATTGGGATTTGAACTAGAGCCTCACACTTATTAGCAGGCACTCTACTACTTGAGCCATGCCTCCAGCTTTCCCCTTTTTGGCAATGCTCCAGGATCAAACCGAGGGACTCAAAAATACTAAGCAGTCCGAGTCTTCCTTGTTTAAGAGATCCCTTTCAGCCAGACACCAATGGCTCACACCTGTAATTCTAGCTATTCAGGAGGCTGAGATCTGAGGATCGCCGTTCAAAGCCAGCCTGGGCAGGAGAGTCAGTGAGGCTCTTATCTCCAGTTAACCCCCAGAAAACCGTAAGTGGCACTGTGGCTCAGGTGGTAGAGCACTAACCTTGAGCTGAAGGACTGAGGGAAAAAAGAGAGAGAAAGATTCATTTCAAGCTGGGTGCTGGGGCTCATGCCTGTAATCCTTGCTACTTAGGAAGCTGAGATCTTAGGATCGTGGTTCAAAGCCAGCCCAGGCAGGAAAGACTCTTATCTCCAGTTAGCCACCAGAAAAAAAAAAGAAGTATTGCTGTGGCTCAAGTGGTAGAGCACTGGCCTTGAGCTGAAGAGCTCAAGAACTACACCCAGGCCCAGAGTTTAGTCCCACGACAACTGAGCAAAAAAAAAAAAAAGATCCATTTCATTCTCCAGTTAGGGCGTGCGTGCATGCGTGCATGCGTGCGTGCGTGCGTGCGTGTGTGTGTGTGTGTGTGTTTCAGTTCTGAAATTTGAGCTACCGCTCTACTTCCAGCTCTTTTTCGTAGTTAATTGACTATAACAGTCACAGACTCAAGCCCCATGACTGACAAAAAAACAAGAGTCTCAGACTCATGACTTTGAACCATGATCCTTAGATGTCAGTCTTTTGAGTAGCTAGGATTATAAGTGTGGCCCATCAGTGCCCAGCTCCCCTTAGTAAGGTCTTTTTTGTTTTTCCTATTTAAATAGGGAACAAGCTTTACCCTGCATACAGATCCAACTCCAAAGGGAGGTATGTGACTTTGGGAATCCGGCTGATCTGCCTTCTGGAAACGGCACCAAATCTTCAGGCGGTCTTCAGAAGACATTCTCCAAACTAACCTCCCGGTTCACCAAGAAAGCTTCCTGTTCTGGGTCAAGCAGCAGCACAAATTATTCCATCCCAAGCACCCCTTCCAAAAACATCTTCATAGCTGGCTGTTCAGAAGAGAAGGCCAAAATGCCTGGCAACATAGACACACGGTTACAGAGCATTCTGAACATCGGCAGTTTCCCTAGGACCCCAGACCCTTCCCAGTCAGCTCAGAATTCCAGTAATCCAATGGCCAATGGTTTTCTTCTGGAGAGGCGGGAGAACTTGCTGCCCGGGGAAGATGGCAAGGACGAGAAGGGCATGAACTTACCAACCGATCAGGAGATGCAAGAGGTGATTGATTTCCTCTCTGGCTTTAACATGGGCCAGTCACATCAGGGTTCCCCGTTGGTGACCAGGCGTAATTCTGCTGCCACAGCCTTGGTGACTGAACAGAAGGCCGGAGTTTCGCAGCCACAGCAGCCATCACTGCCAGTGCCCCCTCCTCCACGCCCCCCCCAGGCTGGGGCCCACACACCTCTGACATCCCAACCGAGTCTGGCCCCTCAGCAGCAGTCTCCAAAGCAACAACCACCCCAGGTGCAATACTACCAACACCTGCTCCAACCCATTGGACCACAGCAGCCCCCACCCCAGCCTCGGGCACCTGGGAAATGGGTCCATGGCTCCTCCCAGCAGCCGACACAGCCAGTGGGAGCAGGTCTTTCTCCTCTGGGCCAGTGGCCAGGCATATCTGATCTCAGTTCAGACTTGTACAGCCTGGGTCTCGTGAGCAGCTATATGGACAATGTGATGTCAGAGGTTCTGGGACAGAAGCCACAAGGACCTAGAAACAACACCTGGCCAAACAGGGACCAAAGTGATGGAGTCTTTGGAATGCTGGGAGAGATTCTGCCTTTTGATCCTGCAGGTACATGAGGGCTTCCCCACTTCTCACCCCATTTCAACATACGATGTCATCACTGAGGATTTCTTAGGGCATGTCAGCCACAGCCTTACGTAAAGTGAATATAACTTAAAGTGAAATAACTTAATCCTCCTCATTTGAAGACTGTTTCAGCCTATCTAGAGGCTTAAATAGGGCTGATTTAACAAGCATGGGAAGGACTAGTGAGAAGAGGCTGAGGTCAACTAGCTTTATGTTATTTGTGTGTATTTGTACCAGCTCAAAGCTGGTACTTGAACCACAGCTCTCCTTCTAGCATCTTTTTTCTGGTTAATTGGAGATAAGACTCTCACTCTTACCTGTCTGGGCTGGCTTTGAACTGTGATCCTCAGATCTAAGCCTCCTGAATAGCTAGGATAATAGGCATAAGTTGATGGTAACTCTTCTTGACAGCTCATGCTCGAAACATCCTCAAACTTGAAACTGCAGTGCAAAAAAAAAACCATTTCCTCTTGCAGGGTATTAGCTGTGGCCAGCAACTAGCTCTGGGGCATGTGGCTGCCAGTTGCTTAGCACATTTCATTGTGTATGTGACCAGCCTATCCTCAGCGAGAAAGAACCCAAGAGGCTGCTTTGTCTCCCACCTTTGTTTGTTCTTTTGTCTCAACACAGTGGGTTCAGACCCAGAGTTTGCACGCTACGTGGCAGGAGTGAGCCAGGCAATGCAGCAGAAGCGGCATTCCCAACATGGTCGCCGACCAGGCCACACCCGAGGCAACTGGCCACCCATGGAGGATGCCCACCGGACCTGGCCTCTTCCAGAGTTCTTCACAGAAGGGTGAGTACAAAGCCCAACAGGGGAGCCAAGTTCAGGGTCTGGATGTCTCATGTGAAGTCTGTGGAAGGGGAAACACATGGATGTTTGTGCACTATGGTTGGCAGTTCAGTTCTAATCCCCCACTCCATCACATAACATGGTTAACCCTTCAGAAGCTCAGGAAGGACACCAGATTGTGTGATCAGTCTCTGGACACACCACGTTTGAGCTCTGGGCCGGGGCGCCGTCCCTCAGCTCTTCAGCTCAGGGCAAGCACTCTACCACTTGAGCCATAGCGCCACTGCTGGTTTCCTGGTGGTTCATTGGAGATAAGTGTCTCCTGGACTTTCTCTCCCTGGCTGGGTTTTTTGTTGTTGGTTTTTTGCCACTCCTGGGGCTTGAACTCAGGGCCTGGGCACTGTCCCTGAGCTTCTTTTGCTTAAGGCTAGCATTCTACCATTTGAGTCACAGTGCCACTTCTAGCTTTTTCTGTTTATGAGAAGTCAAATTCAGGGCTTTCATGCATGCTAGGTGAGCACTCTACCACTAAGCTACATTCTTAGCAGCCCTCCGCCCCCCCCCCCCAGCTGGTTTTGAACTATAGTCCTTAGATCTTAGCCTCCTGAGTAGCAAAGATTACAGGCATGAGCCTCTAGCACCTGCCTTTCACATCTTATTATAATGTTTGTGTTTAATGTCTTTTGTACTGAAGCCCAGCTGCTGGTGGCTCAATCTGTTATCCTAGCTACTCAGGAGGCTGAGATCTGAGGATCATAGTTTGAAGCCAGCTGGGCAGGAAAGTCTATGAGACTCTTTATCTCCAATTAACCATCAAAAAGCTACAAGTGGAGCTGTGGCTCAGGTGGTAGAGCACCAGTCTTGAGCAAGAAAGCTAAAGGGAAGAGTTCAAGCCCTGAGCTCAAGCCCCAGTGCTAGCACTAAATAATAATATTAAAGTTTATACACAAGCCAAAGGGTTCTAAGGACAACAAAAGGTGTTACTTTTGAAATAAGAGAGAAGGGGAAAATCCTCGGGTTCTGGAAGGTAGAAACAGGAGCCCACTGTTGAGTTTATGAGATTGATGGAGAGAGGGCAGACTTGGGGCTGTGGGGTCAGTGTCTTGCTGGCTGGCAGGAGCCCAGGACCAACTTCTCTCCTGGACTTTCAGAGATGGCCTTCACAGTGGCTGGTCAGGTGCTCAAGGAGACTCAGCCAGTTCCAGTGACGAGACATCTTCAGCCAACGGGGACAGCCTGTTCTCCATGTTTTCGGGGCCTGACCTTGTGGCTGCAGTCAAGCAGAGAAGGTAAGAAGAGATTTTCGAGCCACAAGGAGGAAGGGGAGCATGAGAATGTGACCCAGCTTCCTGGGAAAGCCAGGCGCCCAGCAGCTTATAAAGAGTATCTTCAGGAGGAATTGTCCACAAGCCAAGCTGGCTGGTCCTCTCAGGGACCACCACACAGACTTGTAGCCCAGGTGATGACATTGGGGTTGGGTTTTTGATGAAAGAACAGTTTCGTGATGACCAGAAACACAAGTGTAATAGGCAAAGGAGGAATCAAGAGACAGGGTCTGTGCGAGCTGGTCTAGGCCTTGCAGGATGCAGCCTTTCTGCCAAGGACCAGGGCCAGGGCAGCCATGTTGTCATTGATGAGGTTTCCCAGCAGGCTTTGTAGTTCCTGGCAAAGGTCTCACCTCCTCTGACCCTCCTGGTAATACAGAATGTTTAGATGTAAAGAGTCATGAAAATGACTAGAATTAGAGGTGAGTTTGGTGAGAAAGAAGTGGGGAGTTGGGTGCTGGTGGCTCACGCCTGCAATCCTAGCTACTCAGGAGGCCACCACACTTACACCTCAGGGCCTGGAGACCCCAGAGCCAAGTGACTAGATTGTTCCCTAGAGTTTAGCTGAACAGGAAACCAGGCCATCACCACTCTGAGCTCTTGATTCTTTCAGGAAACATAGTAGTGGAGAGCAGGACACCAGCACGCTGCCCTCGCCACCTCTCCTTCCCACCGTGGAGGACATGAACCAGGTACTGTGAGCACGGGCAGGGGTTCTGAAGCTTTAGTCTCAAGAGGGCCTGATGCTGGACGCCAAGGCTCACACCTGTCATCCTAGCTACTCTCGAGACTGAGATCTGAGGATAGCAGTTTCAAGCTCACATCAGTAGGCAAATCCTAGAGACTCAGCTCCATCCACCAAAATGCCAGAAGTGGAGGTGTGACTCAAATGGTAGAGCAGTTGCCTTGAGTGCAAAGTCTAAAGAACATTCAAACTCTAGTATTCCCCCAAAACACACACACACAGCTCTGCTTTGAGTTTAAACCCCAGTATCTCCCCAGAACACACACACACATCTGCATTCCTAGCAAGTAGCTTCCATATTGGACAGTGACACTGCTTTCATTGTAAGCCATCCCCTTGGACAAGGCTGTGAGAGGCTCCAGCTTTCACCCGACCCCCTACAAAGAAAAAAGGGCCAGAGATCTGGGACATGGGACATGGGTAGACGTGCTAAATCCCCACTAAGGACCTTTTTTGTCTCCCAGGAGAACAAAACCAAAACATGGCCACCCAAAGCACCCTGGCAGCATCCTTCCCCACTGCCCAGCACGCTGCCCAGCCCTGGCACATCCCTCTATGCTGTCGCCAGCCCCAGCAGCCAGTGGAACGACACCATGCAGATGCTGCAGTCCCCCGTGTGGGCGGCAACTACTGACTGCAGTGCCACTTCCTATACCTACGTGCAGACGCCGACACCGCAGCCCCCAGCCCCAAACCCACCACACAAGGCGGCACCCAAGGCCTTTAAGGCCTTCCCTGGCAAGGCTGAGCGCAGGCCAGCCTACCTGCCCCAGTACTGACCAGGGCAAGCCTACCTGTCGGCCGGAGCTGGAGTGGTGAGCGCCCCTGCACCTAGGCTGACACCAACCTCCTCCTGCTCCCCCAGAGGACCAGTGCACCCCGATCCCAGGGAGAGGAATATTCCTTGGGGGCAGGGGCAGTTGGCAGCTCAGTCCTGTTTCTCAAGACTTTGAAAGGCAGCAGACCCAGGAGAACCAGCTGAAGAAGGAGAGTCTGATGCTCAGGGGATTTGCTGGGTAATCTGCATGCTTAGTAAGCACCTCAGGTGGTTGGGATGCCACATTTGGAGAACAGGTGTCTGAGAGGGTTAATAAGAACAAAACTGACCATTCTTCTGGAAGCCTCTCTTCCCTCCTTCACACACTGGGTGGTGACTACACCAATCACTGACTTCATAGCTGTTTTTCACATAGGCTTTGGTTCAAACCTCTCCTGCCTGAAACACCCATGGGTCTTTTAACATACCAGATATACTGGCTGGAAGTTTGCTCTCAACACTAATTTTATTTAACTTCATACACAGTGGGATAAATATAGACTCCTTGTGATCAGAAGCAGCCACCTGGGTCTTCTGGGGCTTAGTTAGCATGTCTCACCCTGCAGTCTTCACCAGATTCTCAGAGGCAAGACAGGAAAGCTGATGTTTGACGGTGTACTCCTGATGGGGCACAGAGATGAGCTGCTGTCCACAGAGACTGCACCTGCCACCCTCACATCCTTCCACCCGTGGCCAAAGGGGTGGGTACAGTCCCAGATGGGGAGCTATGGGAAAGGGGCTGCAGGGGTGCGTGCGCGCGCACACACACACACACACACACACACACACACACAGGGACATTGTGAGCTGACTCAGAAGACAAACCAATTATGATGTAGACAGCAATTAAAGTCTTTAAAACACAAAATAAAACACAAACCACATTTCCAGTTAACATGTGCCATTAAATAGATAATATCCTTTGGGTTTAGGATATTTTCCAGCCAGGATGGATCCAGAAGAATTGAATGGTGCTTAAATTGAAAAATAATAAATATATATCTATATTGACTATAGACATCCCACTGTATTATTAGTTGAGGTTGCAGAAAGTTCTTTATATAAATCTTATTTAAATTTTTTTCATATTTCACCTTTGAAAAACGTCTAATTGAGAAAAATCCATGATATTTTCTGGTATGAAAGTTTGACAGTATTAATATTTTTTTTATATTTTCTTAAATCATTAAACCATTTTAATATATGTTTAACTACTAATAAATGGTTTATTCTTTCTAACTCCATTACAAGCTTTTCCAACAAAGATTTAATAACATTTATGTTCTCATTTTTCTACAGATAGTAAATTTATATTTAAAAATACCAAAAAGAATATATGTATGTATACACATCACATGCACACACATGCATGCACACACACAGACACACACACACACAAATCCTAGAAGACCCATAGGGCTTCTGTGCCCAGCCACTGAGATTTTCGTATGGTGTTGTCTTTGCCATGTGCGGACACATTGCTACGATCCTTCACCCACCATGGGTTCCATTCACCTCACCATGTTTACAGAGAACTGTTTTGTACATAGAGTTTTTCAGGCACGTGTTTTGCACCAACCCTGCGTGGCTCTTGTCTGTGTTAGTTGTCACAGTATGCACACTAATCTCTGTTAAAAGTTCCTCGTGGCTGGTTTTTTTCCTTGTAAGATAGTTTTTTCTATCTCCTTCAGTAATGTGTTTCTTCCAGTTCTGTTAGACAGAAGTACTCTGGTTTTAACAGTGCCTCCCCAGACACCTCACCCTGGACACACGTCAGTCCTCTGTGCCCCCCCTGCCCCTCCCTCCAGCACAGGCGACACGTCTAATTGTCACCTTCCCATTTGTTTTTGTTTTCTCCCCTCCCCACCTCCTAGTAAGGAAGACACTTTGTGTACTTGCATCTCCATAGCTGAGACTGTGGGGCACTGTTTGTGTAGTCTCTGTGCGGGTGCTGTGTTCCTAGCCCTGCCTGCTCTGAACACTGGTGATTCCAGGTGCTGCGCTCGGCAGAGAGGTCTTGCCAAAGCGCGCGCGTGTGTGTGTGTGTGTGTGTGTGAGTGTGAGTGTGTCTGTGTGTGTGTGTGTGTCCTCTGCATGACTGAGCAGACATGGCTGCCTTGCTCAGACATCTGCAGGACTTTGGGTGAAGAGTTACTATGCTTCCAAACTGGAACTCTACATTTTGTATCTTACTTTGAAAGCTCCTATAAATAAAATAACTATTGGCTTTATTAAAAAATATATATACATTTAATAATATCTTGTATCTTTATTTAAAACAAAGGGTAGCAGCCAGTCAGAGCCACCTTGGTTCATGGCTTTGACAGGCTTTGCCCGAGTTGGTTTTTTAGGTCAGCATGTCCTCTGATTCTGAGGTCTGTCAGGGAGTCAAGATGAGCTGTAGTGGACAGGTAGGACACAGAAAACCAATCACAGGCCTTCACATTGACTGCCCTGAGCCAGAACCAGTACAGGCCTCTGCATGTGCAAATGGAGCCACCACAGAGGTTAAGGAGACTTCTGGGAGAATACACACATGCTTTCTAGGTTGGGTTCTTCCAGGCTTCACGTCCCCAATGGGCATGGGTGCTGTACCTTGCTTCTTCCATCACTGGGTCCTTCCCCAGCAGGGACCCAGTCTGTGCCAAGACACTTGCCTCACAGTGCCATCCTACTACACAGAAGGAAGATTGGGATAAAAACCACAGAGACTGGATACAGAATTTCAGTTCCCATTTCATTTACAGAAAAACAGCATGCACTGAAATTTTTACATGAATGTAGTCATGTCAGATTATTAAGTAAGCAACAAGTATAAGTACCACTCAAGCTCCCTGCTGAGATGCCCTGAGGTTGGGCATAGGTACCAAGTCGCAGAGCCTTCTAGATGAAGAATAGCGGTTGCTTAGCAACCACCATGTGGTGCTAAGAAATACTCAAGAAATGCAGGGGGTGTCACTTAGTGGCACAGCCTGTGCTCAGCATGCCCAAGACCCATAATAAGCTATAAAATATGTTAAGGGGGAAAGAAATGTTTAACATAGCCATCCTCCTAGCATTCACTGGACAGGACATGAGAGGAGCCCCATAACCTCCAGTTGTGTGCAAGAGAGTGGGAATAGAAGTAAGACAGATGGCTGGGCGCTATGGCTCATGCCAGTAATCCTAGCTACTGAGGAGGCTGAGACCTGAGGATCGTGGTTCAAAGCCAGCCAGCCCAGGCAGGAAAGTTTGTGAAACTCATCTCCAGTAAACCACCAGAAAACCAGAAGTGGTGCTGTAGCTCAAGTGGTAGAGCACTAGCCTTGAGCTGAGGGACAGCACTCAGGCCCAGAGTTCAAGCCCCATGACGGACAAAAAAAAAAAAAAAAGACATGTTAAACCTGCTCCCTTAGAGGCCTTTTACCCTCCTGAGAGGTGGAGGATACACATAGGGGTTTGAGATAAGTACAGCCTCCTTTCCGATCTGGGAATCTTCTGCTTCATGCCAGGCCTGGGACTAGGAGAGGATGGCCCCTTGTGTGTGGGGTTGCCATTGAAGTGACTCATGTCCTCATCTAGAGACAAAGGAAGCTTTACAGTGGTCAGCTCTTGATTGCCCAAAAAGCCACGTACATAGATCGTGTGTGACAAGCTGCCACCTCACTGTCCCATAGTCCTGGAGGAAATGCAGTCCTTAGGACATCCTGTGAGGGGATCCATGGAGTATGGGTTGTGTTGGAGGACTGACAAGGAAGGATTGTTTTAGGAGTGGCCTGATCATTTCCCAGAGGCCAGACCCTTGCTAGGAGTCAAGTGTGTATAGTAAATGTCCTTGTCCTTAAAACTCAGTCTTAGATGAGAACACTCATTTTCTCACTCATTTTTTGGTGTTTATTTTCTTACACCAATATTATGACTCTGTCTTGGCTTTTACTGTTCAAGTGTGGCACTCTACCACCTCGGACTTTTTTTTTAATTTGTTATTATAGAGGTCATGTACAGAGGGATTACAATTACACAAGTCAGGTAATGAGTATATTTCCTTTTGTACAATGTCTTCGGTTCCCTCATTCTCTCCCAGTCCCTCCATCTTCCTCTTAACTTTTTAATGGTTAACTGGAGATGTCTCAAGATCTTTCTTACCTGGGCTGGCTTTGAACCATAATCCTCAGATCTCAGCCTCCTGAGTAGCAAGGATAACAAGCATGAGCCACCAGTACCCATTGTAAATTGTCACTAAATCATTTGGTCTGGCCCTGCCAAGGCAACACCAGGAGGTACCTAAAATTCAGTAAACCTAGGATCTGCCTGTAAAGCAAAATTCAATAAATCTACACCCCACGAATGATATTATAAGTATCCAAACGGCCCTTGGCAGAAGGTTCCTCACCTGCTACCCTACTCCACGTCTTGTTCACATAGCCTTGCCTAATACCCCCAACCACCTGCCTGTGGTCTAGGGCTGTTTAAGGCCCCCATGGGTCCTCTGGCATCCGTGCTCACCTTCTCACAGTACAGGTCCCTGTGTGCATGTGTGTTCCTCCCGACAGAACAAGGAGTGAGTCTTGTGCTCAGACCACCTGCCAAGCAACTGGGGGTGCACAAAAAGTGGTGTTTGGCTAGAACTGGCTAATGCCCAGACACCGGAAAAAAATAAAGAGGCTCTCACAGTGGACTAAAATAATACGTAGCCAGGCACCGGCGGCTCACACCTGTCATCCTCGCTACTTAGGAGGCTGAGATCTGAGGACTGAAGCCAGCCCAAGCAGGAAGGGCTTTGAGACTGTCTCCAGTGAACCACCAAAAAGCGGGACGTGGAGGGGGTGATGGCTCAAGTGGTAGAGCGCCAGCCTTGAGTTAAAAAAACAGCAGCTCCTAGGCCATGATGAGTTCAAGCCCCAGGACCGGTAGGGGGAAAAACAGGTCACCAGAATTACATCAAGATAATAGAATTAATATGGGGAACAGCGCATCGGAATACTTCACGAAGTACATCTTTCCGTTTTCACGAAAACCCCACCTAACTGACCCCAGCAACGAGTCCCCGCGGATGACACAGCCCCGGCGAAGACGAGCAGGCCCGGCCGCGCGCGGCGAGCTGAGGCCCCGCCCCATCCCCTCCGGGTGCACGCGTGCGCACGTCCTTGTCGTCCACCCCCATCCGGAGCATGCGCACTGGCGCCCCACCGCCACCATCCCAGACGTGCAGACTCAATCGTTGACGAGAGCGCTCGGGATTCGGCGCAGGCGCGGTGCGCACGCGCAAGACACGGCCGGCCCTTCAGGACGTGCTTACCCACACGCGCACGCAGCGAGCCTCTTCCACCCCCCCCCATCATGTCCACTCCCCCCTCCCCCACACCTCCGTCCCCTGCCTCCGGGCTGCGCACGATCGCCGCCGCGCGCGCGGCCGGTGGGGGCGTGGTCTCGCCTCCGTGACTCAGCATCCTCAGGAGCGCGCCTACTCAGTGGAGACTGTCCCGGATGCTGCGCCCTCTTCGTCCCCATCCTCCCTGCGTCCTGATCTTGGTCCGACCGCCCTGAGTTAACGCCTGACTAGCTTAAATGCCGGTCTTCAGTGTCCCCATCCTTAGGGCTCTTGTTGGGAAATGTGCTAGTTTCCTAAACCTGCTTTTTCAGGGTTGCATGGTAGGGTGCGCCCGGCTCTGAGCTTCTGCACAATGTCCCCGTCCACCCCAGGATGTTTCGTTGGAGGAGCAGATGCTGGAAGCATCCATGGGCGGTGGGCACTGAAGCAGGATCTCTGGGGGCTTTGATGGGCCAGGGTTTGTAGCAATGATTGGTTTTTAGCAATTATTGGTTTTTAGATCCTCGTTTGGGGGGCATGGCTCTAAGATTCTTCTTTATCACCCCCAGAAGAAACCCAGCACCCATACCTCATTCCCATCAACCTCCTGGCACCCCTTCTGTCTGCATAGATTTATTCATTCTGGACTTTTCATATAAATGCAATCACACAACCTGGGTGTGGGTGTGTGCCAGCACTGCCCCTTAGCTTTTGTGCTTACCACATGAGCTGCAGCTCCACTTCCTTCCTTGTGGTGCTGGAGGTTGCACAGGCTTTGTCTGGGCTGGCTTTGAACCATGATTCTCAGATCACCGCAGCTTCCTGGGTAGTTAAGATCACAGGTGTGACCCACTCGTGCCTGGTTTTGTTCTACTTTTTGTAGATTTTGTTCTTCGTTCTGCTATGACTTGTGACCCTTCAAACAGGAACCTAGTTGTTAAAAAAAAAACAAACCCTATTTTCTACACTTTTTACTATAGAAACTAATTTTTTACTATTAAAAAAAAAATCCAGGGCTGGGAAGGTGGCTCAGTGGTAGAGCGCTTGCCTTGCATGCATGAGGCCCTGGGTTTGATTCCTCAGCACCACATAAGCAGAAGGGAAAAAAAAGCCAGAAGTGGCTCTGTGGTTCAAGTGGTAGAGCGCTAGCCTTGAGCTGAAGAGCTGAGGGACAGCACCCAGGCCCAGAGTTCAGGCCCACGACCGAACCCCCCCCAAAAATCCAGATAACTTGGACATTTCAAACTACAAGATTATAGGCCAGCTGCTGGTGGTTCACGCCTGTAATCCTAGCTACTCAGGACGCTGAGATCTGAAGATTGTGGTTCAAAGCTGGACCCGGCAGGAAAGTCTGTGTGAGACTCTTACCTTCAATTAACCACCAGAAAAACCAGAAAGTGGCTCAAAGTGGTATAGTGATCACCTTGAGCAAAAGAGCTCAGGAACAGGGCCCACATCCCGAATTCAAGCTCCACAACTGACAAAATAAATAAATAATTAAAAAAAAAATAAGGGGCGGGAATGTGGCTCAGTGGTAGAGTGCTCCCTTAGCATGCATGAAGCCCTGGGTTTGATTACTCAGTACAACATAAACAGAAAAAGCCAGGAGTGGTGCTGTGGCTCAAGTGGTAGAGTGCTAGCCTTGAGCAAAAGAAGCTCAGGGACAGTGTCCAGACCCTGAGTTCAAGCCCCAGGACTGGCAAAGAAAAAGACTGTGAGGAAACCTGGCCTAATGAAGCAACTGGGAATCACTAAGAAAACAATTTACAGTGTACATTATTAGGATGTCAGAAAGTGCTATAGCAGGTCACTGATAATCTCATGCTGATAATCATACTTACTCGGGAAGCTGAGCTCTGAGAATCATGGTTTGAAGCCAACCTGAGCAGGAAAGTCTGTGAGACTCTTCAGTGGATTTGGTCAAATGCTTGAGCAAAAAATAGAAACAATAACAACAACAACCATAACAAAGCAAACAAACCTCAGGAAGTGTCTAGGCCCTGATTTCAAGCCCCAGTACCTGAACATCCATACACACAAAATTAGATATTGTTCTCTTCGCAAACTTGCACCTTTTCATTGAAAAATCTTTCTCTTTCCGTATTTGGAATCATTGATGACAATTCCATTTTCCAGATCCCAGATCCCAAACTTGATGCCACCTTGACCTTTCTTACTAGGAAACTGTGACTTCTTTACTCAACCAGCATAGCCTAACTTCTCCCTAATCTGTATGTATTATTGCACCAGCTTCCTCTCTGGGAACTTCTATTCAACCTGATGTACTCTAAAAACGAAACAGTTCAGAAAATGCTCCATCTTTGCTTAGAATCCTTCAGTGGCTTCCCATCTCAGAACAAAATCCAAAGACCTTCCTTTCACACCCACTCCACTCCAGCCACACTTGCTGGAATGAGTGATGCAGAAATGTTTCTGGGACATGGAAACATCTAAGCATATCCCCCTTCTCTCCTTCCTCCGTTCTCCCCAGAGTTTGAACTCAGGTCCTATTGCTTTTGTTTGTTTTTTCCTCTCAAGGCTGGCATACCATTTGAACCACACCTCCATGTCTGAGGTTTTGCTGGTTAAGGGGATAAGAGTCTGGGGGAAGGGTGGGAATTTATCTACTTGGGCTTCCCTCGAATTAAGTTCCTCAGCTCTCAGCCTTCTGAATAGCTAGGATTACAGGCTTGATCTACAGGTATCATGCTTAAACATTGCTCCGATTTCAGGAATTCCGCAGTTCCTATTCGATTTGTCAGAACATTTGTCTTCCAGTTAGTTCACTCCCTGGCTTTCACACTTTTGCTCTGAGGGCATCAGTGAGTATTTTCTTGATTTCTTGGGTCCTTTAGAAACCCACAGCATCTGCAAACAACCACCTGTACCGTGGGAGGCGTTCAACAAAAACCCCTCCGAGTCACAACTACTACAGGGGACAAGTAGCTGCACCCCCAGGGGAAGCAGGGAGCAGAGGTCCCGGCAAGGTCGTATAGCGGACAGGGCGGGACCGCGCGTAGGGTGGGGCCCGATGACGTCAGGGCCGCGAATGGGGGCGTGGCCAGTGCGTGGGGCGTGGCCGGGCGCCTGCGCTATAAAAACCGGCGGTGCGCGCGGGCCGAGGCTCCGCGAGTCCGCGACGCCCACTTTCTCTCGTTCCTTCCTTCTTCTTCTTCCGCGCACGCTCCGGGCCTGGTTACCTTTTGGGTCCCGCCATGGCTGCGCTCACCCAGAACCCGGATTTCCAGAAGCTACGGCAGTGGCACAAAGACCATCACGGAAGCCTCAACCTGCGAGAACTTTTCCAAGGCGACAAGGACCGCTTCAACAAGTTTAGGTACGGTGTGCGAGCGGGGAGGGGCGAGGAGGGGCAAGAGGGGCTCCCCCCAGGGATCCCCGACAGCCTGGAAGAGGCCGCACGGTGTCCTTGACGCCTCCTTGGGAGCAGCGGGTTTCTGGGGTGGGGGTGGATGGGGGAGATCATCTGTTTGCTGAAGAATCCCGGGGCAGGGGGGGACCTGGGGAGAGAAGTGGGGGGAGGGTCCTTCTGCATCCTAGGTTCATGGGGACCCCCCCGTGTGCCCCAGTCATTTGAGAAAGGCACTCGTACCCACATGTGTGTGTGTGTGTGTGTAGGAGACTGACTCAAGCAGGTTAGAAAGAGCTTTGGATGGCCCTCGGGGTGTGGGTGGGCTTGGAGGGAGGGGGGGACCGGGAGGTTTCCTAAGCAGCGAGGTGACCTGCTGAAGACGCTGAAGCTAGACAGCCATGAATAACGGGGACCCAGGAAGACGTGTGGGAGGAAATCTGGGGTGGGGAGGTATCCCAGCCTGCTCTCCGGTCACTGGTGTTGGAAGGAAGGAGGGAGGGTTGGCCAAGGAGGGGCAGAGACAGGATTCCATGACACCTGTAGCTTCAGGCTTCTGCCACCCCCCCCCCCAAGGCCCAGCCTTCACATCTGGAGGATTGGGTGCCCCAGAGAGGCAAGCTCCCAGAGAGGAAGCTCAGGGAGAGGGTGGTCACTCAACACTCCTCTCTTTCCAAAATATGATTCCTTGTCTAGGGGCTCTCTGCATTCTCTGTTCTGTGCAGGTCTGCCTGGGTTGCAAGGTGTTCACTGCTGCTGGGCAGCTGAGGCCCTTTTGGGGTGTGGCACTAGGTGGATTTTTTTTTTTTCTGACTCAAGGCCTGGGTGCTTTCTCTTAGCTCTTTCACTCAAGACTGGTGTTCTCTCTTCCACGTGAGCCACACCTCCACTTCCAGCTTTTTGCTGGTTCATTGCAATAAGAGTCTCGTTGATTTATTATTTTTTCTGCCCTGACTGCTTTGAACTATGTTCCTCCAATCTCAGCCTCCTGAGTAGCTAGAATTACAGGCATGAGCTACCAGCATCCAGCTTGAATGTTTCTTTTGGAAGCAGCTAGGGTGAGCTTGCCAGCTTGGGGAGAGAGAGAGAGAGAGAGTGTCTCTCACCAGGGATGGTGAGCAGCTTCTGTATTTTTCTGCAGCTTGACCCTCAACACCAACCATGGCCATATTCTGTTGGATTACTCTAAGAACCTTGTCACTGAGGAAGTGATGAAGATGCTGGTGAACCTGGTAATGTATGGTTTGGGGAGGGTGATAGACTGCAAGCTGGACTGTGAACACTTGTCCCTGGCCCAGTTTCTAAGTAGTACCCTAGAGCCCCAGGGCTTCATGTTTGAGTAAACCCTTTTCAAAAGGTACCTGCCAGCTCCTTAGGGGTAGGACCATACATGCTCTGTGCTTGGGGGCTTGGGCTGGTGGTGACCAATAGGGGTAGGGCCAGGCATCAATGTCTTCTTTATTTTCTTTGTTTATTTTATTTTTATTCATTTTGGGTGCCAGTACTGGGGTATGAACTTAGGGCTTAGGTGCTGTCTCTTAGCTTTTTTGTTTTTTCCTGGTCCTGGGGCTTGAACTCAGGGCCTGGGTGCTGTCCCTGAGCTCTTTTTATCTAGTCTAGCACTCCACCATTTTGAGCCACAGCTCCACTTAACAGTTTTCTGGAGGTTCATTGGAGATAAGAGTCTCACAAACATTTCTGCCCGGGCTGGCTTTGAACTATGATTCTCAGATCTCAGCCTCCTGAGTAGCTAAGATTATAGGCATCAGCACCTGGCTCCTTAGCTTTTTTTGTTCAGAGTTGATGCTCTACTACTTGAGCTTCAACTCCATTTCCAGCCTTTGAGTGGCTAATTGGAGATGAGAATCTCATGGATTTTTCTGCCTAGGCTGTGATCAAACCACGATCCTCAGATCTCAGCCTTCTGAATAGCTAGGATTATAGGCATGTGCCACTCCACCTGGCCTCCTCAGTGCCTTCTTTTCCTAGGCCAAGTCCAGAGGTGTGGAAGCTGCCCGGGAACACATGTTCACTGGTGAGAAGATCAATTACACTGAGGTGAGCAGACCTGCAGGACACCAAGTTCCACATACCTTTTGGGGCCTCTTCCTTCCCTTTGGGGAGCTTCACAGGACTATTAGCAGCATTACCCTATGTCCTCACACCTTCTCTTAGGCAATGTGTTTGCTTAACAAGGGTGCCTCCTTTCCCCACCAAAGGCCAGTTTGTTTCTTTGAGGGCTGTTTGCAGAGTTTTATGCTGTGTCTTCCCCAAGACTGGCAGGCTGGGTTTGGCAAGCAAATTGGAATGGTTCCCAGTGACTTTTCAGAGAGAAGCATATCTCAAGCCTGAAATAGTTCCTTAGATTTTCTGGAGGCTGGTTGGGTTTCTTAGAGAATATAACTGTTACATCCTTGCTGCAAACTTCACTAATGACAGGACATTCATGTCACAAAAGACCTCAGCCTCAGCTTGCTAGCAGTAAGGGCAGGCCTTGGAGACCCTAGCCCTGACTTGCTGTGGAAGCATAATAAGCACCAAACACTCAGAATCTCTATTCTCATAATGTTACTAGCTTGAGGCTTAGTGAACCAGATGTCTAACAACACACTAACTTTAAGAGGCAGAGCCGGGATTCATATGCTGTGCAGCCCATCTCCCATTGCCCTCACAGAGGGCTTTCCACAGGGTTGATGTGGGGAGGAGCTGGCCAGGCTGAGGGGATGAGCACAAAGCCTCCATCTCAAGGACCCTTGCACTGGGTTGCAGACCCAAGATGACCCCTTTCCTTTCCTGCCCACCTGCAGCTTTAGACCTGTTCCCCTCCAAGACAGCTAGCTGCTGCTGGCTTTTGCTAGACAGGGAGTATACACTCCTGATACCTCTCACAGACCCAATCTGTTTTTTGTTTGTGTTTTGTTTTGCCAGTCCTGGGGCTTGAATTCAGGGCCTGGGCACTGTCTCTGAGCTCCTTTTGCTCGAGGCTAGCACTCTACCACTTGAGCCACAGTGCCACTTCTGGCTTTTTCGGTATGTGTGGTACTGAGTAATCAAACCCAGGGCTTCATGCATGCTAAACAAGCACTGTACCACCGAGCTACATTCTCAGCCCCGGTTTTTGTTTTAGAGACTGGACCCAAACTTTGTATCTGATGCTTTTGCTCATTGGCTGTCGTTCTATCACCTGAGCCATTTTTTTTTCTTTTTTTTTGTCAGTCATGGGCTTGAACTCTGAGCCTGGGTGCTGTTCCTCAGGTCTTCAGCTCAAGACTAGTGCTCTACCACTTGAGCCACAGCGCCACTTCCAGTTTTCTGGTAGTTAATTGGAGAAAAGTCTCCTGGGCTTTACTGCCTGGACTGACTTCAAACTGGGATCCTCAGACCTCAGCCTCCTGAGTAGCTAGGATTGCAGGCATGAGCCACTGGTGCTGGGTTTTGTTTTTTTTTTTTTTCTTTCCCAATCTGAATCTGGTAATGAGGGGCTGCTCAGTATGGGTGGGGGGCTGCCTGGTGAGGGGCTTTAGTTGCCTGCCTTACCCCAAACCCAAAGGTCTGAGGACAGTTCTAGAAAGTTCTAAGAGACACCACAGGCTCTCATAGGGAGGATGAGGGTATGTTAGGTTTCATAACATTGAAGGTGTTCATTGCCTCTCTTCTCTGACCTCTCTTGTCATCCCATGCTTCTGCCCACTTTTTTTCTTCCAGCTGTTTATACCCTGAATACCTGTGGTCCTTCATGGCCTGTCCTAGACATGTTCAGGGAGTGGCACATGCTTTTCTGGGACTGAGGAAATCTGAGGGCTGAGTTCACGGTGCACCAAGCCAGCTGGGAGCTTGGTTGTCCTAGGAGGTGTGTGTTGAGATGTGTGGAGAGGGGCCCACGGGTAGGGACTTCACACTGGAACCCTCATCCCCAGGATCGGGCGGTGCTTCATGTGGCCCTTCGGAATCGGTCAAACAACCCCATTATGGTTGACGGCAAAGATGTGATGCCAGAGGTGAACAAAGTTCTGGAAAAGATGAAAACGTTCTGCCAGGTCAGTAGCTGACAAGTTGAACTTGCTTGTGTGTTTGGGGGGGGGGTGTCCCGGAAGCCTTACAAGTGGCTCCACATGGGTTCTCTTTGAAGGCAGGACTCAGACCCTCATTGCAGCCTCCGGTGGAAGTTGGGGGTGAGGAGAACCTATGTGATCACTGATGGGGGAGGAGGGGTCTCTGACAGAGAGAGTCAGTAGGGAACGGAGGCTTGGTGTGTCTAGTCTCTTTAGTCATACCTCTAAGTCCCGAATCACAACATAAACATGGAAATTTCTTGTACTTACTTCCAGCAGACTTTCCAGGCAAGGCCTTTAGAGTTTCCTGTGAAATCCTCCCAAAGAAGCCAGTCCCTGATGGCTCACGCCTGTAACCCTGGCTACTCAGGAGGCTGAGATCTGAGGATCATGGTTTGAAGCCAGTCCAGGCAGAAAAGTCTATGAGACTCTTATCTCCAATAAACTCAGAAAAAGCTGGAAGTGGTGCTGTGGATCAAAATAGTAGTCCTACCTTTGAGTGAAAGCTTAGGGACAGTGCCCAGGCCTAGAGTTCAAGGCCCAGGACCTGCAAAAATAAAATAAAACATCCCAAAGGTCCTGTGTGAATGTCAGCTACATAGACCAACAGCAAAGGACCTGGGTGAGTGCCAGCTACAGACACTGATGTCTGTTGTCTCTTTGAGCAAACAGGTTCATTTTCTTTCCACCTGCTCTTCTGAAGCTTACTTCCATTAGAAATATGGAGAGATGGGGCTGGGAAGGTGGCTCAGTGGTAGAGCGCTTGCCTTGCATGCCTGAGGCCCTGGGTTCAATTCCTCAGCACCACATAAGCAAAAAGAAAAAAACCGGAAGTGGCGCTGTGGCTCAAGTGGTAGAGTGCTAGCCTTGAGCTGAAGAGCTGAGGGACAGCGCCCAGGCCCAGAATTCAGGCCCCATGACCAGATCCCCCCCCCCAAAAAAAAAAAAGAAATATGGAGAGATGTCCCTAGATTGTCATCATTCATATAATCAAGGCCACTTTTTCTTTTTTTTTTCTTTTTTTTTTGTCGGTCGTGGGGCTTGAACTCTGGACCTGGGCGCTGTCCCTCAGCTCTTCAGCTCAAGGCAAGCGCTCTACCACTTGAGCTACAGTGCCACTTCCAGTTTTCTGGTGGTTTATTGGAGATAGGAGTCTCACGGTCTCTCCTGCCCGGGCTGGCTTTGAACCGAGATCCTCAGATCTCAGCCTCCTGAGTAGGATTACAGGCGTGAGCCACCAGCGCCCGGCTAAGGCCACTTTTTCTGTGTAGGGTGTCCCTTTGCTCCTGGATACAGAAATGTGATATCCAGCGCCTGTGTGGATGTGTGTGCATATCTGTCCACACAGACTGTGCATGCTCTGGGAGTGATCATGTGCTCAGCTGCAATCATTCACTGATAGTCCCTGAAAGCCAGTGTTCATGGGTGTGTGTGTGTCCATCCCTTGGCTGGTCAAAGTCTGGTTCCTTTGGCCAAGAGCCATTTTCAGACTTGAAAGCAGTGTTCATGTGAGAAGTGATTGTGGCATTCATCTCAAAGGCTTCAAAGGCTGAGCTCTGGTGGTTCACATCTGTAATACTGCCTGGCTAGGAGGCAGAGATCTGAGGATCACAGTTCCAAGCCAGCCTGGGCATGAAAGTTTGTGAGACTCTTATCTCCAATTAAACACCAAAAATCTGGAAGTGGAGTGTGACCCAAATGGTAGAGTGCTAGTCTTGAGCCAGAAATTTCTGGGACAGCACCCAATCTCTACATTCAAGCCTCAGGACCAGCATCACATGTGCATACACATGCGGATACCCATAACACACACACACACACATACACACAAGGCCTGGATGACCATGGGGAAGTACTTCGGCGCAATTAGTATACACACACACACAGAGAAGTTTGATGCGCGGCGCCGGTGGCTCACACCTGTCATCCTAACTTCTTAGGAGGCTGAGATTTGTGGTTCAAAGCCAGTCCGGGCAAGAAAGTCCTTGAGACTCTTTTATCTCCAATAAACTGCTAGAAAACCAGAAGTGGCACTGTGGCTCAAGTGGTACAGTGCTTGCCTTGAGCTGAAGAGCTGAGGGACAGTGCCCAGGCCCAGAGTTCAAGCCCCACAACCAAAAAAAAAAAAAAGTTTGGGAGGAGAGGGACATTGAATGAGAATGAATATGCACAATGTAGTTGGCATGCATGAAATTAGAACCGTGACACCTATTGATAGCATTTTTAGAAGAGGAGAGTAGACTTCCGGTTCTGGTGGCTCACACCTGTAATCCTAACTACTTAGAAGGCTAAGATCTGAGGATCACAGTTTGAAACTAGCCTGGGCAAGAATGTTGGTGAGACTCTTATCTCCAATTAAACAGCAAAAGTCAGAAGTGGAGCTGTGGCTCAAAGTGGTATGCACTACCCTTTAGCACAAAAGCTCAAGGACAGGGCCCAGGCCCTAAGTTTCAAGCCCTATGATTGGCACAAAAAGAGAAAAAAAAAAAAAAGAGAGAGAAAAAATAGGTAGAGACACTAGGCTATAACTTAGGTTAAAACCCAAGAACAAGCTTAAAAAAAAAATCCAAACATAAATGATTAATGTTTGAGGTTTGCCAGTCAGATTATGGAGCATCAGGAATTCTGGAGCTGACATTATAACCTGCCATACTGTCCCATGTGCACCTGGAGTGTAGGCAGTTATATCACCATTGTAGCGTGTCCCAAGGCCTCATGTACTCAAAGAAAGGGTGTGACCATATTAAAGATATGAAAATCCCCTCACCCCTTGGGGTTTGGAGGAGGATTTTTTTTTTTTGGTGGTTGTGGGGCTTGAACTCAGCCTGGGCTCTGTCTCTCCCCTCTTCAGCTCAAGGCCAGTGCTCTACCACTTGAGCCACAGCACCACTTCCAGTTTGTTTGTTTCTTCTTTTTTTGGGGGGGGGGTCCGGTTGTGGGGCCTGAACTCTGGGCTTGGGTGCTGTCCCTCAGCTCTTCAGCTCAAGGCTAGTGCTCTACCACTTGAGCCACAGCACCACTGCCGGCTTTTTGCTTATGTGGTGCTGAGGAATTGAACCCAGGGCCTCAGGCATGCAAGGCAAGCACTCTACCACTGAGCCACCTTCCCAGGCCCTGTTTATTTCTTTTTCTTTCTGTTTTTTCTTTTGTCGGGCATGGGGCTTGAACTCTAGGCTGGGTGCTGTCCCTCAGCTCTTCAGCTCAAGGCTAGCGCTCTACAACTTTAGCCACAGCGCCACTTCTGGTTTTCTGAGTGGTTTATTGAAGATAATAGTCTCATGGACTTTCCTGCCTGGGCTGGCTATGAAGCATGATCCTCAGATCTCAGCCTCCTGAATAGCTAGGATGACAGATATGAGCCACCAGTGCCTGGCTCTGGAGGAGGATTTTTATTGTAAGCCAAACATTGTTTTATTATTAAAAAGTTATTTTCGGCCTGGGTGCCGGTGGCTCAGTCCTGTAATCTGGCTACAGAGGAGGCTGAGATCTGACAATCACAGTTTGAAGCCAACCCAGGCAGGAAAGTCCATGAGATTCTTCTTTTCAATGAACCACCAAAAAGGTATATGTGGAGTTGTTGCTCAGGTGATAGAGTGCTAGCCTTGAGTAAAAGAAGCTTATAGACAGTGTCCAGGCCCTGAGTTCCAGCCCTAGGACCAACACAATAAAAACAAGTATTTTTTGGCAGTACTTGGTTTGAACTCCAGATATCACCTTTGCTAGGCAGGTGCTCTGCTGCTGAGCCATATCTCAAGCCCTGTTTTTCACTGGTTATTTTATTCATTTATGTTTATTTTGGGGCCGGTATTGGGCTTGAACTCAATCCCTTACTCCCTCACTTGGCTTTTTCCATTCAAGGGCACATTAGTGGATCTGCCACTTGATTTTTAATCTCCACTTGTGGGTTTTTGCTGGTTAATTGGAGACAAGAATCTCACAGAGTACCTTTTAACCACGATCCTCAGATCTCAGCTTCCTCAGTAGCTAGGCTTACCGGTGCACCCTGGCATGGTCCCAGCTTTTCTTATTTGGTAATGAACGTGGACTAGCAAGGCTCTTAAACTATCATCTTTTTTTTTTCTTTGTGTCAGTTCTGGGGCTTGAACTCAGGGCTTAGACACTGTCCCTGAACTACTTTTGCTCACGGTAGCACTCTACCACTTGAGCCACAGCTCCCCTTCTGGCTTTTTCTGTTTATGTGGTACTGAGAATCAAACCCAGGACTTCATGCATGCTAGGCAAGCGCTCTACCACTAAGCCACATTCCCAGCCCCTCACTATTATCTAAAGAGAACCTTAAGGCTCAGGGTCAGTGCCCAGGCCTAGAGTTCAAGCACCACAACCGACAAATAATAGAGACAGAAAGAACCTTAAAGTGGACATTAATGCTGGGAGACCTAGAGATTAGATAGTGATTGTTGGTGAACTGATTGTATCTTCTCACCTTGCTCTAGCGTGTCCGGAGTGGTGAGTGGAAGGGTTACACGGGCAAGGCTATCACTGACGTCATCAACATCGGCATTGGTGGCTCTGACCTGGTGAGGAGAACCCTACCTGGGGCCATTGGGATTGAGAGGTGGGAGCTGTGTGGTCCAGGTCCCTGTGTGTGCACTCCCCCCCCTCCCCCTGATTTCCCCAACAATGAGCCCTATATCCTGGAGCCTTGCTGTATGATGCCATATCTCCCCACAGGGCCCCCTGATGGTGACTGAAGCCCTTAAGACATACTCCTCAGGAGGTCCCCGTGTCTGGTTTGTCTCCAACATTGACGGGACCCACATTGCCAAAACGCTGGCCAACCTGAACCCTGAGACCTCCCTGTTTATCATTGCTTCCAAGGTATGGCGGCTTTGTGTATTATGTGATGGGGGGATGGGACAGGTGAGGGGGGTGGGGGTTCTGCCATTGCCCTGGGCCCAAGACTGCTTATGAATCATCTGCATTGGGAATCAGGCTGTTCCTCTACCTGGAAGCAAACTGCATAAATTCATACTGCTCAATTAGAACCTTTGTCAATTGTTTCTCTGTCATGTGACTCTGCCCAGACTGGGATTGAACTTTCTTATAGATCTGTCCCTTGTCTCTACTCCTTTCTCACCTCTGAGCCATGCCCTGATTACATACAGTTGTTTTTTTTGCCAGTCCTGGAGCTGGAACTCAGGGCTCTTTTGTGCTCAGGGTTAGCGTTCTACCACTTGAGCAGCCTCAGCACCACTTCTGGCTTTTTGAATATTTTGTTAGAGATAAGAATCTCATGGACTTTTCTGCCCAGGCTGGCTTTGAACCATGATCCTAAGATCTCAGCCTCCTAAGTAGCAAGGATGACAGGTGTGAGCTACTGGTGTCCAACTTGTGTGTGTGTATGTGTGCGCGCATGTGCGTGTGCCAGACCTGAACTCAAGGCCTGGGCACTGTCTTTGAGCTTTTTTGCTCAAGGTTAATGCTCTACCACTTGAACCACAGCTCCACTTCTGGCTTTTTTGGGTGGTTAATGGGAGATAAGAGTCTCATGGGCTTTCCTGCCCAGGCTGGCTTAGAACATTGATCCTCAGAGCTCAGCCTCCTGAGTGGCTAGGATTGCAGCCATTTTTAATTATTATTATTAAAATAGTCATTCAGCGGGGTTTTCTTTCTTGTCATCTGTATGCTGTGTGTGCTTTAGCACATACCACATGCCAAAGAATTCCATCTTGGGCCTGGCATCAGTAACTCAAGCCTGTAATCCTAGGGGAGGCTGAGATGTGAGGATCAAGCTTTAAAATCAATCCAGGCAAGAAAGTCTGTGAAACTCCCAATTAACCAGCAAGATACTAGAAGTGGAGCTATGGCTTAGCTGGTAGAACACCAACCATCCTTGAGCAGAAAATGCAAGGGATGGAACTCAAACTCTTAAGTTTAAGCCTCAGTACCAATACACATACAAAAAAAAAATTCCCTCAGTTCTGAGATGAAGCCTAGCACAGACTGAAGTAGAACCCCAGCAACCTCAGCCTGTCTCTTGAGAGAGGCCCTTGCCTTTCTTTGACCTTGAGTGGTCAGGGGAGGTTACAGCATAATTTAGAGTCCTAGACGCAGCTCTACTGTGTAGACCTGCAAATACTTGACCTTGTGACAAATGGGCCCCAGTATGGCCTCTGCTGCAAGCCTGGCTCCCGGCCCCTCGTGCTCCCTGTACCCCTGAGCTGGGGCCGACCACTGCCTTCTCTGCTTGCAGACCTTTACCACCCAGGAGACCATCACTAACGCAGAAACGGCAAAGGAGTGGTTTCTCTCATCAGCCAAGGATGTGAGTAGGCCTTGGGGCTCTCCCAGGGCGGGGTGGGTGCTGGCCAGTGCCCAGGCAGGGAAGAACTGGGGGAGGCTGACTGGCTGTCTTTCTTCTAGTGTTGGAAGGTGGGGGTGGGTGGATATGTGTCTGGAGCCTGCCTTTTCCGCTTGTGATAAAGGTTCTTCTTGGGCTCTGTTAGCCCCAGGCATGACCAAACAGCACAGGCGGCTCTAACTGGTTTTGGGTCCTTCCTTCCCACCTTGTGTGTGTGTGTGTGTGGGGGGGGGTTACTGCAACTAAGAGCTCTTTCTTTTGGTCCCTTGCTGCTGGCCACACTTACTTTTTTTTTTTTTTTGGGAGGGGTGTCAGTCCTGGGGCTTGAACTCAGGGCCTGGACACTGTCCCTGAGCTAACAGTGCTTTACAACCTGAGCCACAGCTCCACTTCTGGCTTTTTCTGAGTAGTTTATTGGAAATAGGAGTCTCATGGACTTTCCTGCCAAGGCTGGCTTTGAACCGTGATCCTCAGATCTCAGCCTCTTGAGTAGCTAGGGACTATAGGCGTGAGCCACCAGTGCCCAGTTGACACCTGTTTCTGTAGAGGAGATACGTTCCTAGGCCCTGTATGTTGGCATATCTTTTGCCTGCATAAACCTCACCTGGACATGGGCTCCTCTGCCAGCCTCAGGATGAGAATGCGGGAGTCAGGTAGGGGTAGACCACCTTAGTCCCTTTTGTGACCTTGGCTTCTCCAACAATAGGAGGATCACTACTCTGGCCAGGCAGCTCTGGGATGGGTTTTGTGTAACTTGCCTCTTTCTCTTCTAGACCTCTACAGTGGCAAAGCACTTTGTTGCCCTGTCTACCAATACGGTAAGTGTCCGTGTGCCCGTCCCTCCAGACCCCTTTCCCCCCAGCTCCCCACAGAGCCCAGGTCAAATGGCCTCTCAGAATCCACGAGCTGAGGTGTCATTCCCAGACACGAGGCATCTTGGATTGGATGGTGATCCCTACCTGTGATCTGTAAGCTCTCCCATCGGGCCTGACTGGTTTCTGGAACTCTCCACGCACCTCTCCTTGACCTCTGCCACCTTTTCTCCCTAAATGTGAAATTAAGTCCCAGTGAATGCATGTGAGGTAGTGTTCACAGGCTTGGAACCCAGGACATCTGCCTGTCAGTTCTCACAATCCTGAAGTGAACCTTGCTTAGCCCCAGTGCATGGGGGTTCTGTGCCAGGCAGGTCTGCCTGACCACTGCCTTTCCCACACCCAGTGCAGCCACACCTTCAGCAGCTCACATAGGAGGTAGCAGGGACAGGCTGGCTCACCTAGCGTGCTTGCGTGCCTGCTGCTCATGAGCTCAGGTTACCAGTGGTGCAAAATAGGTAAGGGGTTGCTAGCCTGCTGTCCAGAGGGCTAGATTCCTGAAGAACTGGATGTCATCTCCCTGGAACACTCTTGAGTGGAGTCACCTTCCCCGATACCCAAAAGTCAGCAGGTGTGCTCAGCCCAGGCCATGCGGTCCCTAGCCTGGGGCTATTCTTTGGGTTCCCAGATGTCCTGGGGGCTATTGTCTGCTATCCTTGGCTGTCCTCCCATTCCCCTGGCTCTCGCAGCAGGATGGGGGCCTGGTACTGGTTGGGGAGGCCTGGTAAGTGCAAACATGAGCCAGCCTGGAGTCCAGCTCTGGGTGGGCGGATAGATCCTCGGTCCTCCCCTTGACTCAGGTCGCCCTGCGCTGCCCCCTCCCAGGCACCTGGGGGCAGTGGTGAGGAGCTGCTGCTGTTCGTCCAGCTAACAAATCCGTCTTCTCATCTCTCTCCCTTTGTCCCTTGCAGAGCAAAGTGAAGGACTTTGGAATTGATCCTCAAAACATGTTTGAGTTCTGGGATGTAAGTACAAGCCCTCTGCGTGCTGGTCCATGGTGTGTCATGGGTCATGACACATGGCCTTGGAAGAGGGGGCCCGTGAGGTCAGGTCAGCATTGCTGAGCTCTTTTTGCATCGCCTAGATTTGGGGAAGGCAGAGAGAGCGGCCTTTGCAGGGTGACACATGCCAGGCAGCGTGAGGACTCCCCGTGGGCATGCCCACCATGGGTCAGGCCTGCAGGGTTAGGTCACAGTCAGCTGGGTGTCTGCCAGCAGCACCCGCTGTGGGGTAACCAGAGCTGCACCTGTCCCTCACTGAGCTGTGGCTGCAAGTTATTCTCGGCTGTGACCTTTCTTTAAACCGTAGGCCCCACAGGTTGTAAAGGCCAGGGGGCACAGTAAGGCAGGGGTGGGGCCCATAACTAATGGATAGCTAGATGCTTGTGGGAGCAGCTGGAGGCTGCCAGGAGATGCCAGGCGGGGAGCCTGGGCAGGCTGGGTCTGGGCAGTTTGTACCATAAACCTTGAGCGGCAGAGCTGAACGCTGCCGTGTAGGATGCCCACCTTTGCTGTTAGCCTCATTTTGAGCATGAGCTTTCTCAGCCAGAGTACAGCAGGGGTGTGAGAAGGGCTGGCAGTCTTGGGGTGCAGTGGGTGTGGCTGGCAGAGATGGTCAGTGTACCCTTAGGGTGTCAGCCATTTGGGAGCTTTCCTGTCCACAGATGGGGCCTCTTTACCTTGAAAACTCTGAGAGCCTTTTCCTACTCTAAGCCAGCCGCTGTGTACTCTGAGTTAACTTCTTTATAGAATGACACTTTATAGCTGGGCACCAGTGGCTCACACCTGTAATCCTAGCTACTCAGGAGGCTGAGATCTGAGGATCACGGTTCAAAGCCAGCCTGGGCAGGAAAGTCCATGAGACTTTTATCTCCAATAAACCACTAGAAAACCGGAAGTGGTGCTGTGGCTCAAGTGGTAGAGCGCTCGCCTTGAGCTGAAGAACTGAGGGACAGCGCCCAGGCCCTGAGTTCAAGCCCCACAACCGACCAAAAAAAAAAAAAAAGCATGACACTTTCTAGAATAGCACAGGTGGATAGAGCTGGCTACTTTACCATCAGGCAGAGATGGTGTACCTTGGTCCTGTGGCAGGACCTGAGACCTTGGTTCCATGAGCACGGGAGGACTTGGCTCTTGGGTCAGGCTCAATGTTCTAGGGTCTATCAGGTGGGCAGAGGCCCTGGGGAAGGGGGCGGGAGGGGGGGCTTGCAGGAAGTCTGTAGGCCCTAAGTGACCCTTGAGTTGTAGCTCCCTAAGCAGGGCTTTGACTGCCCAGGGTCTTGCAAGTAAGTCCCTGGGGGAATGGCTGAGTCACAAGTTGAGGAGACATCACATAGAGCCAGGCTCAGTTTGGAAGGAGTAGATGAACATGGTCTCTAAGTTGGGTGCACCATCTCCGCCAGGCACGTTAAGTGGGCAGGGCAGGGTCTCATTCCGGAAAGCGTCCCTGTGGCTGAGGAGGTGGGTCAGACGCACGTGGCACCTGCAGTGGTAGGGTCAGGCACGGGCAGGTCAGATAAGTGTAGACTCCCTAGCTGTGTGTATGAGCTGGGAGGTGGCCTTGGGTAGGAGAGTTGGCAGTTTACAAAAACAAAACAGGCTGGGCTCGGGATGCTGGGAAGGGCTGGCCATCTGTAATCCATCCAGGGTGTGGTGTTTGCTATTGCTGTTATTTTTGCCAGTCCTGGGGCTCGAACTTGGGCCTGGGCATTGTCCCCAAACATTTTTGCTCAAGGCTAGCACTCATCACTTGAGACACAGCCCTGCTTTAACCTTTTTTTAATTTTGTTTTTGGAAATTTATTGGAGTTTCCTTTCTCTGCCTGGGCTGGCTTCAAACCACAATCCTCAGATCTCAGCTATCTCACTAGCTAGGATGACATGTGGTGCCCAGTTTTGTTACTGTTTTTTTTCTTTGTTGGTCATGGGGCTTGAACTCTGGGCCTGGGCACTGTCACTCAGCTCTTTAATTCAAGGCAAGTGCTCTACCACTTGAGCCACAATACCACTTCCGGTTTTCTGGTGGTTTATTGGAGATAAGAGTCTCACGAAGAGACTGGGAAGATGGCTTAGTGGTAGAGTGCTTGCCTTGCATGCATGAGGCCCTCCATTCCATTCCTCAGCACCACATAAGCAAAAAGAAAAAAGCCGGAAGTAGCGCTGTGGCTCAAGTGGTAGAGCGCTAGAACTAGAGTCTATGAGGAAGGGCCTGAGAGGCTGCGTTAAGTATAGTGGGGTCTCCAGGAATGTCTGACAGGTAAGTCACCCCCACCACCAATCCCAGGCTCCTTTCAGAAGGACCCCATGGTTCATCTACTGCCTAAGCCAGGACCTTGAGCCATACTTCTGTCATTGTTTTTTTTGGGGGGGAGGGGCAGGGGCCTGGGCGCTGTCCCTCAGCTCTTCAGCTCAAGGCTAGCGCTCTACCACTTGAGCCACAGCACCACTTCTGGCTTTTTTCTTTTTGCTTATGTGATGCTGAGGAATCGAACCCAGGGCCTCAGGCATGCAAGGTTTTATTATATATTTATTATTATTATTTATTTATATAACTTCTGGTTTTATTGAGCAGCTAGGATTATAGGCATGAGCCACCAGCACCCAGCTCTTTTTTTTTTTTTTTTAATTTGTGCCAGTCCTAGAGCTTGAACTCAGATCCTGGGCACTGTCCCTCAACTTTTACATTCAAGGCTAGTGCCCTACCACTTGAACCACAGCGCCACTTCCAGCTTTTTGGTGGTTCATTGGAGATAAGAGTCTCATGGGCTTTCCTGCCCAGGCTGGCTTTGAACCTCGCTCCATCTTGCAGGCTATCGGGCAGGCAGGAGGCTACTCTGAGGCTGTTAGGACATCTGGAGATGGGAACGGAAGGTCCCATCCCGATGCAGGGGTGAGGCTTGGAGACACGAGGGGCGGACTCAGGGAGGAGCTGCTGTTAGGACATCTGGAGATGGGAATGGAAGGTCCCATCCAGATGCAGGGGTGAGGCTTGGAGACACGAGGGGTGGACTCAGGGAGGAGCCGCTGGGGCTGTCATTTTGCAGGAAGAATGTCTGGCACAGTCTGAGGAGTGGGTGGGAGACCTTAGCAGTGGGCTTGGCCAGGAGGTCCGTCTACGTGTGTGAATGTGGGGGCAGCATGGGGCACAGGGGGTAGGTACAGAGTCTCCTCGTCTGAGGACATGGGAAGAACACAGGTATCAGACACTGGACTGGGTCCTGGCACAGGTGTGTCTCTCCAGGTCACTCTGGTGGAGGAGGCAGGTCAGGCTCAGGTACGGGTCTGGGGTCTGACTGACGGAGGAGGCAGGTATGGGTCCTGGGTCTGTCTGACCGAGGAGGCAGGTCAGGCTCAGGTACGGGTCCAGGGTCCGACTGACGGAGGAGGCAGGTATGGGTCTTGGGTCTGTCTGACCGAGGAGGCAGGTCAGTCTTAGGTATGGGTCCTGGATCTGATTGACGGAGGAGGCAGGTATGGGTCCTGGGTCTGTCTGACCGAGGAGGCAGGTCAGGCTCAGGTACGGGTCCAGGGTCCGACTGACGGAGGAGGCAGGTATGGGTCTTGGGTCTGTCTGACCGAGGAGGCAGGTCAGTCTTAGGTATGGGTCCTGGATCTGATTGACGGAGGAGGCAGGTATGGGTCCTGGGTCTGTCTGACAGAGGAGACAAGTCAGGCTCAGGTATGGGTCCTGGGTCTGACCAGCAGAGGAGGCAGGTAAGATACAGGCATGAGTCCTGGGTCTGACAGAGGACACAGGTCAGGCTCAGGTATGTCTGTATCTGACTGATGGAGGAGGCAGCTCAAGCTGAGGTATGAGGCCCTGGGTCTGTCTTACAGAGGAGGCAGGTATGGGTCCTGGATCTGAGTGACAGAGGAGTCAGATCAGGCTCAGGTACAAGTCCTGGATCTGTCTGATGGAGGAGGCAGGTCTGACTCAGGTACAGATCCGGTCCTATGTCTGACTGAAGGAGGAGGCAGGTCAGGCTCAGGTATGGGTCCTGGGTCTGACTGACGGAAGAGGCAGGTATGGGTCCTGGGTCTGTCTGACGGAGGAGGCAGGTCTGGCTCAGGTATGGGTCCTGGGTCTGACTGACAGAAGAGGCAGGTATGGGTCCTGGGTCTGTCTGACGGAGGAGGCAGGTCAGGCTCAGGTATGGGTTCTGATCTTGGAGTAAAGGCGTGCTGGACAGTATGGGTCCTGAGTCTGTCAGAGTGCATGGGCTGGTGACAGGCCCAGGTTCTGGGACTGGCAGTGGCTGGCTAGGCCCAGCACAGGTGTGAGCACGGCTGTGCCGACTTCCTGGCAGTGTTAGACACGGGTGTCTGAGCGTTGGCTCTGCCTGTCTGGGCAGCTGGCGACGCAGGTATGAGCCAGCCCCAGTAGGGTGTTCCGTTGAGTCTGTGTCTCTGGCCGGTCCCCTGTGTAGTCTGCCGTGTTGTCAGCCGTGACAGTTCCCAGCGCCTGGCCTGTGGCCTCGCTTGGCCAGGTGGGTTGGACCCAGGCCCTCGGAGTGTGCGGCACTTGTGGAAGGGCAGTGCTGCGGGCACAAGCATGTGGGGGGGAGGGGGGACAGTGTGCCGGCCCCCCCTCAGCACCTTGTCCTTCTCTCCTAGTGGGTAGGCGGGCGCTACTCGCTGTGGTCGGCCATCGGCCTCTCCATCGCCCTGCACATAGGTGAGTGCTGGTGAGTCCCGGGGGACGGGCTTCTGTCCCCACAGACTCTTGGCCTCTTTTTTTTTTTTCTTCTTTTCTTTGGCCAGTCCTGAGGCTTGAACTCTGGGCCAAGGCGCTGTCCCTGAGCTCCTTTTGCTCAAGGCTAGTGCTCTTCCACTTGGGGTCACACCTCCACTTCCAGCTTTTTCTGTGATAAATTGGAGATGAGAGTCTCACAGATTTTTCTGCCTGGGCTGGCTTGGCACTGGGATCCTCAGATCTCAGCCTCCTGAGTAGCTGGGATTACAGGCATGAGCCACTGGTGCCCTGCTGGGAACATTTCTTTTAGGTGGGGAAAGCTGAGGATTTGGGGTGGGGGCCTGCAGGCTGGCCGTTTCTGTCTCTTCAGGGGAGCAGATGTGCCGGTACTTCGGGCCTGCTCCGATTAGAGAGCCTGTCTGCAAGATGTGCCTGCTGCCAGGGGGACCAGGGTGTGGCCATTTCTGTTGATGCTGCTTTTGTGTCACAGGTTTTGAAAACTTTGAGCAGCTGCTCTCTGGGGCTCACTGGATGGTGAGTGCTGAGTGTCTGTGTGCATGTGCACATGCACACGCATGCGCACATGTGTGTCTGTTGGTCGAGCTCCCTCCCACATCCCACCTTCCTCCTCCTCTCCCTGGCATCTTCCCAGATTTCACCTGCCCTCCTCTTATTCCAGGACCAGCACTTCCGCAAGACGCCCCTGGAGAAGAACGCCCCGGTCCTGCTGGCTCTGCTGGGGATCTGGTACATCAATTGCTACGGGTGTGAGACACACGCCATGCTGCCCTACGATCAGTACCTCCACCGTTTTGCCGCCTACTTCCAGCAGGTACCCTGCTAGCTGGCACCTCCTGCTCAGTGAGGTTCTGTTCTAAAAAGCCCTTCCATCCCTGTCCTTGCTTCCTGAAGTGCAGGCTCAATCTCTGAGCTATAGGCAGGGTCAGCTGATTTCCACCAGCACCTGAGGTACAAGTCCTGCCCCTGCAGGCCCCACTTTGGGGCACATCTTTTTTTTTTGGGGTCCAGTCATGGGGCCTGAACTCTGGGCCTGGGCGCTGTCCCTCAGCTCTTCAGCTCAAGGCGAACGCTCTACCACTTGAGCCATAGCACCACTTCCAGCTTTTTTCTTTTTGCTTATGTAGTGCTGAGGAATCAAACCCAGGGCCTCAGGCATGCAAGGCAAGCGCTCTACCACTGAGCCACCTTCCCAGCCCCTTTTGGGACACATCTTGAAGCAGCAGATTGCGGGGGGGGGAGGGGCACTGGGCTTCTGTCTCCACAACACGATGATGTGGAATGGAATAGGAAAGACATCACTAAGACTCCCCAGGTCCCAGCCATCGGGGCGAGGGTTGATGTGACAGTTGAAGTGACAGCCTTCAAGGCCTGTTAGACACTGGACCTGTCAAAACAAAAGAAAACAAAATAATCAGCCATGGAGTTGGCAGCGTGGCTCAGATGGTAGAGTGCCAGCCCGTGAGCAAAAACATCAGATACCAGGTTCCAAGTCCTTGTCTTAGACAGGAAAAAGGCCTCTTACCTTCTCCACATCCACTTTCTTCTGTCCTTCCTGCAGGAGATTCTAAAAAGCCACAAAGCTTAGGAACCTCCGGACCCATTTGCATGTCCACCTGCCAGGGCCCGGGGTCATGACAGACAGGCTTGCAGGGACAGAGCCAAGCCTGTGTTATGCATTCTAGGGTGACATGGAGTCCAACGGGAAGTACATCACCAAGTCTGGCGCCCGTGTGGACCACCAGACGGGCCCTATCGTATGGGGGGAACCAGGGACCAACGGCCAGCATGCATTCTACCAGCTCATCCACCAAGGTAGGGGCCAGTGGCTTGGTCATAGGCAGTGCTGGGGCGAAGAAGGATGTGACCCCAGGGCCTTTACACTTACCAGCAGTATCCTCCTGGAGGCTGTGGGGTTGGGACTGTGTGGGTGACCAGAGCGCCCTTCAACAGGCACCAAGATGATACCCTGTGACTTCCTCATCCCTGCCCAGACCCAGCACCCAATACGGAAGGGCTTGCACCACAAGGTAAGAGAAGAAACTGGTCCACACCAGTCCACACCCACACTTTTCAGACCTCCTAGGACCTGGCATTGTAGGTCAGTGGTTATGTTAACTTTCTCTGCCATGGCAGTGACTACGGACTTTGTGCATTGGTTACCTTGGTTTCCATAGCTTACAAGATCAGCAGAGCCTTAGTCCTGACTAAAATCAAGGGGTGTCAGGACTGCACCCCGTCCTGGAGAGCAGGAGGAATACATGCTCACTCAGGTTACCTGATTGTTGGCTCAGAGTGTTGGCTGAGGCTTCTTTTTCTGTTTCTCTCTTTCATTCTTTGGGCGTATGCAGGGCCTTGCTTGCCAGGCAGGCACTCTTGCTTGATTGAGCCATTCTCCAGGCCCATTTTTGCTTTCGTTCTTTTCCAGGCAGGATCTGGTATCTTTGTTCTTAGCCACCCTCAGATTGCCAACCACCAGCCATCTTTCTCTATAGCTTGGGGTGTCACAGGAACAACTGTCCCCTTCTTGTTGGCCAAGATGGGGATCTTGCTGCTTCGTTCAGGCTACCTCAAACAGCAATCCTCCCATCTTGGCTGGGATTGTAGGCATGGACTACCATATTCAATTTTTTCTTTTTTTTCCCCCCCCTTTTTAATTTTTTTTTCCTGTGCTAGTACTGGGGCTTGAACTCAGGGCCTGGGCACTGTCCTTGAGCTTTTCTGCTCAAGGCTAGTGCTCTAGCATTTTGAGCCATAGTACCACTTCTGCTTTTCTGGTGGTTCATTGGAGATAAGAATCTCACACACTTCTTGCCCAGGCTGGCTTTGTTTTTCGTTTTTTGTTGTTTGCTTTTGTTTTTGTTTTTTGTTGGTCGTGGGGCCTGAACTCTGGGCTTGGGCGCTGTCCCTCAGTTCTTCAGCTCAAGGCTAACGCTCTACCACTTGAGCCACAGCACCACTTCTAGCTTTTTCTGCTTATGTGGTACTGAGGAGTTGAACCCAGGGCCTCATGCATGCAAGGCAAGCACTCTTCCACTGAGCCACCTTCCCAGCCCCCATCAGGCTTGCTTTGAACTGTGATCCTCAGGTCTCAGCCTCCTGAGTAGCTAGGATTACAGGTGTGAGCCATCAATGCCCAGCTTCCTTTAGCTTTTTTTTTTTTTGGGGGGTGGGGCCTGAACTCTAGGCCTGGGCGCTGCCCCTCAGCTCTTCAGTTCAAGGCTAGCACTCTACCACTTGAGCCACAATGCCACTTCTGACTTTTTTCTTTTTGCTTATGTGGTGCTGAGGAATAGAACCCAGGGCCTCAGGCATGCAAGGCAAGTGCTCTACCACTGAGCCACCTTCCCAGCCCCTCCTTTAGCTTTTTCACTCCAGGCTAGCACTCTACCATTTACGACACAGCTCCTCTTCTGGCTTTTAGGAAGTTAGAGTCTCACAAGTTTTCCTGCCCAGGCTGGCTTTGAATTGCGATCTTCAAATCTCAGCCTCCTGAGAGCCTAGTATTACAAGTGTGAACCCCTGATACCTGGCCTGCTTAGGGTCTTAGAAGTGTTCATAGGGCCCTTGACAAGCTATGTATATATATATATATATCTCCCTTAAAAAAAGCCAGGTGCAGCTGCTGCTTGACTGGAGACCAAGACAGGAGGATTGGACTGGAGAGGCCAGCCTAGGCAAGTTAGGAAGGCATTGTCTCAATCAATATTTATTCATTTATTTTTTGTGGGTCATGGGGCTTGAACTCTGGGCCTGGGCGCTGTCCCTCAGCTCTTCAGCTCAAGGCTAGCCCTCTACCACTTGAGCCAAAGCGCCATTTCTGGTTTTCTGAGTCGTTTATTGGAGGTAAGAGTCTCATGGACTTTTCCTGCCCAGGCTGGCTTGGAATCACGATCCTCAGATCTCAGCCTCCCGAGTAGCTAGGATGACAGGGGTGAGCCTCTGGCACTGGGCAGCACTGTCTCAGTTTTCCAAAGAGCTTTCTGACTTGCCAGCCCTAACTGCTATTGCCGCCTCCTATCAGATCCTCCTGGCCAACTTCTTAGCCCAGACCGAGGCCCTGATGAAGGGGAAATCAACAGAAGAGGCCCGGAAGGAGCTCCAGGCTGCAGGAAAGAGTTCAGAGGCCATCGAGAAGCTACTGCCCCACAAGGTCAGCACCGTACCTGAAGTTAGCTTTGGTGACAGTTGCTCAAGCTGGAGCAGGAATGAATGTTTTGGGGCCTGAGCGGTCTCTACCTGTAGGAGTCTAGTTCATCTTACACAGTTGGTGGGGGGGGGAGGCCCCTCCCAAAAGTGTCACTCAGGATTTACTTGTGGATTTTTTTGTTGCTGTTGTTATGAGCCTTGAATTCAAGGCCTGGCCACTGTCTATGAGCTCTTTGGTTCAAGGTTAGTGCTCTACCACTTTAAGCCACAGCCCCACTTCTGGTTTCCCGGTACTTCATTGGAGATAAGAGTCTCGCAGACTTTCCTGCTCCGGCTAGCTTTGAACCAGATCATCTAGATCTCAGCCTCTTGAGTCGCCAGGATGACAGGTGTAAGCCCACCAGCGCCAGGCTTCACTTGTGGATTTCTGTTGTTTTTCTAAAGGTCTTTGAAGGAAATCGCCCAACCAATTCAATCGTGTTCACCAGGCTCACACCATTCATTCTTGGGGCGTTGATTGGTGAGGCAGAGAGAAGGGGCCGGCGGGTGGGTGGTGTGGGGCGGGGCAGGCTGTGGAGCTTTGCAGCACATGTTTCTGCCTCCTCCACAGCTTTGTACGAGCACAAGATCTTCGTTCAGGGTATCATCTGGGACATCAACAGCTTCGACCAGTGGGGGTGAGTGGCTGGCCCCAGGGGGTTGGGGACTGTCCGTGGTGGCCTGGCTGGCAGGTGCCACTAGCATTGTCCTCCCTCCTCCTCCCGGCAGCGTGGAGCTGGGGAAGCAGCTAGCCAAGAAAATCGAACCGGAGCTCGACAGCAACAATCCAGTGACCTCTCACGACTCTTCCACCAACGGCCTGATCAGCTTCATCAAGGAGCAGCGTGAGGTCAAACTGGAATAAAAACAGCGGCCCAGCAGCCCAGTGGAGACCACTGCACCCTCCTGTCCCTCCTCACCCTTCTGCACTGCATGGTCCTGACCTTCTCAGCCCAGAGCGCCCTCTGGTGGTGGACTTGGACCCGTACAAGTCTGTTAGGGGCAGCTGGCCTAGAATTGGCCATCCTCCCATCTGTGTCCACTCTGCCTCTTGTTTTCCATTTGGCTGAAGTGTGTGTTTGGGTGCAGCTGATTTTCTGACTTGCATTCTCATCATTCACATCCCAAGTAGAATAAAGATTCCACAAAGGAGGTGTATGCACTTAGCATCTTAGCTGTCCTTGATTGGATGCTTTGTGTGGCAGTCAGCACACGGTGGGAAAAGCCCTGTGTCTTGGTTGACGCTTGATACAGTGGGGAGCAGGCCAGCGAGGGGGACACAGGACATACCCAGAGTCACGAAGGCAGCTTGACTTCTAATCAAATCCCAAGTCTACTAGCTTTCTGTTGATTACTTCTGTTTGTTGGGGAGGTAAGAACATGTGTGCACATATTCACTGGTCCTGGGGTTTGAACTTGGACTCATTTGGCTTGCTTGCTCATACCTGGTGCTCTACCAGTTGTACCATGTCTTCCAGCCATGCTTTTTTTTTTTTTTTAAAGGTCAGTCATGGGGCCTGAACTCTGGGCCTGGGCACTGTCCTTTAGCTCTTCAGCTAGCACTCTAGCACTTGAGCCACACTTCTGGCTTTTTGTGCTTATGTGGTGCTGAGGAATCGAACCCAGGGCATATCATGCATACAAGGCAAGCACTCCACCATTAAGCCACCTTCCTAGCCCTCAGCCCTGCTTTTTGCTGACAATTGTGAATCTTGCAAGTTTTTCAGCTGAGGCTGGCTTCAAACTTCAATCTTGGGCTGGGAAGGTGGCTCAGTGGTAGAGTGCTTGCCTTGCATGCATGAGGCCCTGGGTTCGATTCCCCAGCACCACATAAGCAAAAAGAAAAAACCGGAAGTGGCACTGTGGCTCAAGTGGTAGAGCGCTAGCCTTGAGCTGAAGAGCTGAGGGACAGCGCCCAGGCTCAGAGTTCAGGCCCCACGACCGGACCCAAAAAAAAACAAAACAAAAAAAAAACCCTTCAATCTTACATTTTTTAGCCCTCTGGATAGCTAGGATTATAGATGTGAGCACATAGTATAGTATAGTTTTAAAAACAATATTGGCATTATAAATTGGTCAGATAACTTTCTGGCTGAGATCTTGGGTGATTACTATCTGACCAATACTTAGGTAGGTTTTTTCCCTTTTATAATTACACTTGTATCTTCTGAAGATAATAAAATATTGTTTTCAGCCAATTAAGAAGATAAGGAATGGGGCTGGGAAGGTGGCTCAGTGGTAGAGCGCTTGCCTTGCATGCATGAGGCTCTGGGTTCGATTCCTCAGCACCACATAAGCAGAAAAAAGCCAGAAGTGGCACTGTGGATCAAGTGGTAGAGTGCTAGCCTTGAACTGAAGAGCTGAGGGACAGCGACCGGGCCTCCCCCCCAAAAAAAAAAAAAGATAAGGAATCTTAGACATTGGGAGGAATGGCTGGCAGGCTAGAGGCTGAGCTCTCAGCCCCTCCACTTTGGATCATGATCCAGAAGGTCTAGGTAAGGGAATGGCTTCTCCAGCCTTCTCAGCAGACAAAGGGGGCTTTTGCCCCAATCCTTCCTGGGTCACCCATGTCTGCATTGAGTTCTGACTCTGTTCCATGCCTATCTAGAGACAAGATCAGCCAGGATTTTCTTTCTTGTTTTTAGGCAGTCATGGGACTTGAACTCTGGGCTTGAATGTTGTCCCTGAGCTCTTCAGCTCAAGGTGAATGCTCTACCACATGAGCCACAGCACCACTTCCGGTTTTCTGGTGGTTCATTGCAGATAAGAGTCTCACAACTTTCCTGCCCCGGCTGGCTTTGAACCATGATCCCAGCCTCCTAAGTAGCCAGGATGACAGTCATGAGCCACCCACACCCGGCTCAGCCAGGATTATTTTCTGCTTCTAGAAGGGAAGGCAAGTTGTATCTGAAGATTCAAAGTGGGGAATAGCCTATTTACACAAATGGCCACATGCATGTCAATGTCCACTAAAAACACTCAAATACCAGCATTTACCTGGTGAGGCTAGCCTTGATCAAAAGAAGCTCAGGTACAGTGCCTACGCCCTGAGTTCAAACCCCAGGACTGGCTGTATGTATATGTGTGTGTGTGTGTATATGTATGTATATATATATGTGTGTGTGTGTATGTATGTATAGCTTTTTGTTTTTTTGGTCCGGTCATGGGGCCTGAACTCGGCCTGGCCGCTGTCCCTCAGCTCTTCAGCTCAAGGCTAGCGCTCTACCACTTGAGCCACAGCGCTACTTCTGGCTTTTTTCTTTTTTCTTATGTGGTGCTGAGGAATCGAACCTAGGGCCTCAAGCATGCAAGGCAAGCGCTCTACCACTGAGCCACCTTCCCAGCCCGAAGTGATTCTTTTTGTTTTGAGGGTTTGTATACTCTTTGGCCTCAAAGTGAATACCTTTTTTTTTTGACCTTTGTAAAGGGGGCAGCTCTTCTTGGCCACCATGCCTGGCTTTTTTTTTTTTTTTTTTT